CTGGCTTGACGTAATAGAAACAGATGACAGCTCTCTGTCGATACTGGCTTGACGTAATAGAAACAGATGACAGCTCTCTGTCGATACTGGTTTGACGTAATAGAAAGAGACGACAGCTATCTGTCGATAGTGGCTTGACGTAATAGAAACAGATGACAGCTATCTGTCGATACTGGCTTGACATAATAGAAACAGATGACAGCTATCTGTCGATACTGGTTTGACATAATAGAAACAGATGACAGCAATCTGTCGATACTGGCTTGCGTCAGTACCAAGGCACTTGTTCTAAGACTGAATCAGATATTTACAGTCACAACTGGACTCCATATCATTGTACAAATGGTTATAAGAAGATTTCAGAAAGCCGTTCTGTATGCCAGACGCCCAGTGCTTTACAGAACGATACATAAAACAGCCCGCCTGCACCGGTGTCAAGAACACAACGTAGTGGATTAAAGCCCTGTTAAGCAATATTTACTTTTACTGATGAGTTTTTTCTTCGCCTTTAAGCCAGATATCAGACGTATGTTTATTTGGAGTGAGTTTGGAAGCGGATCCAATTTCCATTTCAAACAAGAACGTCACGAGTATTTTGGTGTGGGCAGGAATAAACATTGATGGGTATACCAACTTCTACGTCTTGCACTGTGGTACGATGGATACCATTTATTATAAGACCAGATCCTAAAGAATTGTACTAGGAATATCAAACATTATAAGGACTGAATCCTACGACTTTTTTGAGTAACCATATGCTAAATAAGTTGACCCTTACTTTAGCTTGATAGATGATTACATCTGTAACAACCGTGATAAGTTGGCTGACATGTTCTTTATGCAAGAAGGAACTGATCGAATGAAAAAGTTTACATATACTGAGGACTTTTACAAAACAAGCTTGTATGAGATACTTTTGTAAAATAAGCTCACATCCCGTCAGGTGGCTCAAGGCACTAAAATGCTTTGAAAGAAGCTTGTTCAGAAAACTCTTGTTGACATTCTGATTGCCAAGCTAGCATTTCTGCTCGTTGTAATTATACTCCACATTGAAATGAAATATTCGATTGTAAAAATGAAATTTCACATTACACGAATGCGTATTTACGGGTGTAAATTAAATGATAAATTATGCACACTTCAGATCTCATGACAGATCACTAGATGTACATAAATAATGACATCAATGACTGTGATTTTATAACAGTAATTTTCCTTGCCATGACAAAATATTAAAAATTCCATTTATTCTTTAAATGTTCTGTGCCTTGTGCGTTTTTTTTCTAAATAACAAATTTACCACAATCTTTGTAACATGCACACACACACACAGAACACAAATATGTCTAACAACTAACAGTTCATGTGCGAATACATTTCAATGCTTAACAGTTCATTTACCAGGATACTTCAATATTGATTAGTTGTGAACCAGCATATTTTAATACATAGCAGTTCATCTACTAGCATACGTAACACTAAACAGTTCATATGCCAGGATATTTCAATATTGATTAGTTGTGAATCAGCATACTTTAACACACAGCAGTTCATGTACTAGCATATTTTAAATATATAACAATTCGTGTACTAGCATACTTAACACAAAATAGTTCATGTACCAGGATATTTCAATATTGATTAGTTGTGAACCAGCATACTTTAATACATAGCAGTTCATGTACTAGCATATTTTAATATATAGCAATTCGTGTACTAGCATACTTAACACAAAATAGTTCATGTACCAGGATATTCCAATATTGATTAGTTATGAACCAGCATACTTTAACACACAGCAGTTCATGTACTAGCATATTTTAATATATAGCAATTCGTGTACTAGCATACTTAACACAAAATAGTTCATGCACCAGGATACTTCAATATTGAATAGCTCATGTATTAGTATACTTTTACCTGAAACAGTGCATGCACCAATATATCTTAACCTTATTGGTACAAAAATTAACAGATTATTTACTAATGTACTTTAAGAATAAACGCTTCGGTAGCGAGTTTTATTTAACAGTAAGGATCCATATATCAGTATTGTTCAACATATAACAGTTCAGACACCCAAGTACTACGGTAATTACTAGTTACCCTACCAATATTTGTAAACAAAATAAACAGTTTATGTAGAAGTATACTTTAACATTTGGTGTCACAGAAACGAACGGATTACATTAGTTTAATAAAACACAAAACATACGTTCTATAATACAAATTTTTCCTGATAGAAATACGTCATTGAGAGGTTATTGTTGACTTACGGCACAAATATACGGAAAGTTTTTTTCGCTCGTCAAACCACTATCGAGACCCAACAGAATGACGCTGGTATAAGTAAGCATACATCCAACAATTATTATATTGTTTAGGTACGGGCTGGACATCTTGATATACCTAAAACAAACATAGCTATTTAATTTATAAAACTTTAAGATCCGATTGTTGTATATTGAAATACATACGTACACACACATATGTATATATATATATATTTAATTTTATATGAGTTATAGTGTATACTTTTTACTAGTTTTATCTTAGTTCTTTAATAAACTTGAAGAATAACCAATAAAGCTGCAAAATTTGTTCAACAGAAATATATTAAACTTACACAACTTTTTTATGTTATCTATTTAACTATCTATTATGTAAAAAATATGCGTTTGAACACGTCTTTCTTTTGGTTATGTTAGGTTATATTTTTACTATTAATTTAATTTATTTATGGTTACCTCTATCAGCTTTTAGGGAAATATTAAACAAAGTGTAATTTAATTATGTAAACTATATGTCAGACCCGTACGAAAATGTTTGAAAGGGGGTTCTAATTTGTGAGGTCTAAAGCCAACACATATTGTACGAAGCACAATCAGCATGCAAAGCATGCTAATGCTACGGAGTTCTGTTAAAAATAGACGCTGTGAGATTAAATGTGGAGTAATTGTGCATGAAATGTTGCTTAAAGTGTAAGTCGTAATATAATACATTAACATTTAATATTATATTTAAACATTTTCTTCTAGGTAGTAAAGGATGCAAAGGATATTAACATAAAATATAAGACAAAACGTTTTGCAGCAGGAGAAGAAGCAGTCGTACAACAAAATGGACAGTTTTTGTGTCAATCAGGAAGTTTTGTTGAAACTTATTTTTGTTCATGCCTTTTGAAAAATTACTATAGCTCTAACCATGAATTTTTCTTATGTATTTAATTTATAATCACTGCGAATATATTTTTGAAAGTATGAATATTTATACTTGAATTTAGGTCATATGTTCGAAACAAATATAACATACTGACGTTTAAATTGATAAAGTGATGTTTTTTTGTTGTTTTTTTTATTTATAAGAAAAAGTTCTTGCCTTTGATTTCGAAACTTTATGTTAATGATAAGAAAAGCAGACGCCATGATGATTCCCAGGACTGCAAAAGTCACAATGATGGAGTAGATTGTCAGGCTAACTCGCGTAGGCTTGATGACGATCAGGGTACGGTCTACAGGTGGATCGCTGGCACCTAGAAGGAGCAAGAACATCCACCAAGTTTTATTACACTAGCTTGCATCACTTAGTTAGGCGGTGTACAGTTTGACATTAATTTGTATTATCTCCTGTGTCTCCATATAACACAGTTAAGATTATTTCTATTTGTTTATCAGCATTAATAAAAGGAGTGTTGGTGAAGTAAATTATACAAAATTCACATCAAACAAATGCAATAAAGTTTTATTTTTTAGAATTAAACTGTAAAGTGTTATAGGTTTGGTTTTTTTTTATTCATACAGTCCCGAATGTATAGTTTACATTAAGATCACATTATAATGCATGTACGTGGGATTTGGCGCGAAGAAACTTCCAAAACATATGACCATATGTATTAAATAATGTGTTTCTTTCACGTTCTTCATATACATTGATGTTCTTTAGTATAATAAACGTTTATTTGAACAATTTTCATTTTGTCATGGATAAATATCAAACAGTTAAAAAATTGTTCATTTATTTTGTTAGTTTGTTTTTAAGTACAAAGCTACAGAACGGGGCTATCTGTGCTCTGGCCACCGTGCGTATCGAAGCCAGATTTTTAGAGCTATATACCCTCAGACTTACTGATGAACTATCGGAACCACGTGCTAAAAATATCGATTTATTCATTCTTTTATTTAGAAGGCACAACAGAACAAGTTAAGAATAAATGTATAGAGATTGCATACAAGACACATAAAATATTTATTTCATCATTCTACTCACTGAAGGTATATATAAACAAAACACTCGACGAAAGCAGACAATTTACACAGTACAAGCAAATACTTGGGAAAAATGAGATTTAAAGCTGTAATAAAAGGAACACAATATTATAATTACCATTCCAAGTTATCGCCCTGTCTTTCACAAGCTCGAGTTTGTTGGAAGTGGAGTCATATTCGCCAACTTTTACCTCAGCGCCATCTAGTAGGAATATTTACAGAATTATAAATTTGTTATAGAAGTCCAATGTGGAAATATACACATATATATATGTACAAGGAAACAAATATATTTTGCTGAAGGAAGTGATTAATAACAATTAAACAATACAAAAATGAGTTTAAAAACTTCATTTATTACTGTTAATTCAAAATAAATAAATATAACCACAAATACATAGAAGCATAAAAAACCGGTTTGGTATCATCCAGAATGGTCTTCAGTATCTATGATAAAGCTTTCTCGAACAAGACCTACTTAACAATGTAAAACTTCGCGCGTTTTTATGTATATAGAAACTTCAATATATACAAAAATAATAAATATAAAACAATCAGAACAAGTATTAAAAAATGAAAAAACAGGGATGATGTAGGGATGTCAATGCCAAAAAGTACTGAAACAAGATAGGGATGAACACAGTACAAAAATCCCTACACAAGTAGCCAAATCGTTCCAAGAAAAACTTTTATCTACAACTAAATGTTGAACTCCCTTTTGAATAAAAGTATTTAAACTGAATAACGCTATAGTCTTACATCGACTAATTCCAATGAGCTTATAAAATTGACTCAATGTTTTTTTATGTAGGAATTTTTGTATGTTTTTATGTATTTACCCCTACCTTGTTTCTATACTTTTTGGCATTGCCATCCCTAAAGCATCCTTATTTTTTATTATTTATTTCCCCTCGTTTCTTAAACAATACCAATAAATATTTTATATATATTAATGAATGACAGTCGTTATGAAGCAGTTTTAGCCTGGCGTGATGAGATGTCTTGATGGACATCATGTGTTGAAGTTCGTGAAACGCTATACTTCTTCTGCAGTACCCCAAGTTAAAATGCAACATTTTGGTGTATAAATCATCGCAACAACTTCAAGCAATGGTGAGCTAGCCCTTCTGACGTCAGAACATTTGGCTGTTACGCTACTCGCTGGTTCTCCACTTAGCGATGTTTTTTGGCTAAACCTAAGTTAAGTGTTCATAAAAGTCTCCTAGATTCTTATAAGAAAGATTTGAGACTATGATAAGCAATACATAATATGCGTCGGCCATTTTTTTTCCCTGCCCATTCCTACATACTAAGCACCACCGTGCTTAGTTATAACACAGTAATAAAATTTGTAGCTTACAATAGAAAGTATTTGTATACTTACTCTGATACTGTTTAAGAAGCACAAGTCCCCGTCGTTCGTTTTTTACAAAGCTAACTGGTCCCTGAATTAAAAAAAAAATACTTTTCACTGTATCAAGGTAAAATGCGTAACATTAAACACCGTATAGTTTTATTAAAGAAAACTAATATTAAAATAAATTATTATGTGATTATAGGACACAGTGAATCGGGTATTTTTTTCGTGACATGATTACATTAAAGCAAGTCGTCAAGTGTCTGTACGAATAGACTAGGATTTTTGTCAAAATATCACTATAATAGGGCAGACTATCATGTAATTAGATGACAGTGAATTACTGAATTTTAAGGTATGGTTACAGCAGAGCAGGTTGTTACATGTCTAGATGACAATGAATGAGGGTATTTTGTCAAGGCATCATTACAGTAGAGAATGTTGTTACGTGACTAGATGACAATGAATCAAGGTATTTTGTCAAGGCATCATTACAGTAGAGAATGTTGTCACGTGACTAGATGAAAGTAAATCAATGTATCTTATCAAATGATATGTATGGAGTAACATAAGCTATCATGTTAAAACAATAATTCGTTGTAAAATTTGAAAATGGCTTGAATGTGTAATAAAATAATCTATTGCAAATGTACAACGTTTCCACAAAATTATGTCATCATCATGTACAATTAATTGTAAGGGGTGTAGGGAAGCGGAAGTTTCTGACCGCCCCTGGTTATATTTCATTCCCCTTCGGGAAGTGAAATACACTTTTAACCTAAATTCCTATCATGATTGGATTGGTACATTTGTAATAAAGTTTCTTTCACTGCCCATTCAAGACGTTTCCAAACTTTATTTTCTAAAAAAAAAAAAAAGTGGGTCCTTCGTCATCAGATAAAATTACATTGTATCTAGCAGTCGTTTTAATTCAATGTGAGCATTGTTTAATCAATCACAATGAAAAATTAGATTGAGTTAGCATTTACTGGCGCGTGAAATTAATTTAACAAATTATCGTACTGTACTAATTGCCAGTTAATTTAACCAATATCTTGTCAAATGTATAAAACAAAAATACATTGCTAGTGGTGTAACAGGATTTCACATGAATGCTAACTTTGTGAGAAGCAGTTTAACATACGAAAATTTAATTTCAATCTAAAATTCTGATTTTCTTTTGAGACGATTACTATAGGAAGGACGATGCTACCTACCGTGACCCCAGTGAATGACGTTTTATTGAAAGCTTCTCGGAACAGATTTCCCCAGAAGGGGTCTCTGTACTCGAACATCTCAAGCGTCTTGGAGCTTCCGGTAACGAGAAGCTTCCGCTTCACCATTTGTATAGCGAGAGCTATCACCCAAATCCCGTCATAAGCGTAACCATGGAAACGATTGTTACCTCTGCTGTAATGTTGTTTGTACTGAGCGTCATATTCCGCTGTAGTCTGGAATGATATAGAATGGTTGTCAAGGGAATATAGGTTTGACAAGAAATGGTTAAGTTAATATCAAAATAATGGAAAATTAGGTTTATGTTTGGCAAGAACTCGCAAGAAAAGAAAATAACATATCCCTTAGTAAGCTTACATCTAATAAGGCAAGGTGGGAGTTAATATTGAAGTTTGAGAGTGACGACATATAAAGATAAAGCTAGCATTTTAAATCCCACGAGATTTACAAATAGGATTTTAGGCTTATTAGATACACGGCCATACTTTAAGGTCCAAGTAAATGTCAAAGACAACGTTAAACTACCACTTCCAAAGCCTCTTCTACCAAAAAGCTTAGCTACAAGAGGTCGCTACAATATACTGATATAACGTTAAAAACGTACTCGTATACGTGTGAATTTGCCACGGTTTGTCTTATATGAACAAGCGAATTTATAAACGTAAGCATGAATGTTTAAATACGTTCACGTTCAAGGCAGATTATAGATTAATGGAACAAGTTTTATGATAAAAACTGTGTACCAGTTTAGGTAAGAAATTATTTAGCCATTGCTAGAAGTTTATATTCAACTTGTATTTTTCTAACAATTACATGGATAAAAATGTTTTATTTACAGAGTTAAAAATAAACGTTTTGTTTGTTTTGGAATTTCGCGCAAAGCTACACGAGGGCTATCTGTCCCTAATTTAGCAGTGTAAGACTAGAGGGAAGGCAGCTAGTCATCACCACCCACCGCCAACTCTTGGGCTACTCTTTTACCAACGGATTGACCGAAACATTATAACGCCCCCACGGCTGAAAGGGCGAGCATGTTTGGTGGGATGCGGATTCGAACCCGCGACCTTCAGATTGTGAGTCGAGCGCCTTATCCACCTGGCCATGCCGGGCTAAAAATAAACGGAAGAAGCACGAATTATTATTAGATAAAAATAACGAAAATAAACATTCACAGTACTAAAATCCAAATAGATAGGATCTTAAAATTGGATGAATCATAAATTGAAGTAAAAAATCATTTTTTTTGGGTGAACCTCTATTAAGATGTAACAATATGTAAGCATTTCTGTGTATATTTGTTTGGAATTATATGATTTATATACACATGTATATGTAGCTAAGACAATTAGAATGTAAAGCAACAGTAACAATTAGAAATATAGGGAACTTAGTTACATTTGATGCACATCAGCTGTAAGAGCGCGATTTAGTCACGACGCAAGCAATACATAGTATATATTGTTTCAGAACATAAAGTCATTTATTGAGGTTTTTTGTAGTACAGTGTCTACGAAGTTTTGAATAATATTTGTTTCCTACAAAACTAAGAATTTTTTAACTTACCAGACCTGACACTGTGATATCATTGGTTGAACTAAGTGATAAGATATCTGTTGCCAAATAGCCTTCCATGGCTTCCCTGAGTTGCAATTGGCTACATGTAAGATTGTCGAGGTGCTTTTTCCACCATTCATTATCATACATTCCAACGATGATCCATTGGTATTTCCTGCCATACAGTCCAGTTTTATAGGCCTAAGTAGAGAGAATTTCTGTACTTGTACTTTCAGTGTACAACTCTACTTTCTCTGTTTTTGTCTTAGTATTTTTGTTGCTCGATTTTAATCCGTACACACAAAATCAAATACATTTGTTTAGCACTTTTCACCTCTAATTATTATTTGTAAATCTAAAGAGTAAAAGCTTTTCTGTAGGTACATCCTCAGTTTAATTTTATATACGGAATGTTACTTTTTCCATATATTACTTTTAACAACTTATTTCCTCATTCTCTGAGACTAAGGAGAGAATCCATTTCAGTACAACGTATATTTTAGATTCCAGTCGTGTATACTAATACGTTTTTATATCAAAACTAATTGGTGTATAATATCAATTTTAAGAGAATCCATTTCAGTATAACATATATCTTAGATTCCAGTCGTGTAAACTAATACGTTTTTATATCAAAACTAATTGGTGTATAATGTTTATTCTACTGTGTAAAACATAGAAGAAAACGTTCTTGTGTATGCTTTAAGTCGAGTATAAATAATACTACTTTGTAAAGCTACCTAAGGCAAAAGCATTTTTGACCAAAGTATAACACTAATGCAAATGTCTCAAGTAAAATAATCTTTATATTTACACCTGACATATAATGTTGCTCCACAAACACAAATATAAAACTTTTTCAATGAGTATTACCATATTACCTGGCATATGATTACCTTCTGCTTTCACATGAGTACTACAAATAAAACTTTATAAATGTTATGAAAAAAGTTTTGTTTCATTACTATGACAAAGATATAAAGTTATACATTAAAATACTAAAAAAATAAAGTGGTTTTCTAAAAGTACCATGAGGCAAAAAGATTATTTCTTGAGTTTAAGGAAAAAATATTTATCGGAAAAGTGCTACAAAGTGTGTAATACTACTCTGTAATATTTAAAAGAGAGTTTGAATACTGTTGTATAAATTAATCTATACATTCAAAAAGGCAATTTAGAGTATACTATGATTTGGTTAAACTTTCTGTTAGCTGACAGGCAGTACTCCATTAGTAAACACACATTCTTACGCCGAAAGAAATATTTGTATTGTACTTTAGCCCTTCTGTTAGCTGACAGGCAGTACTCCATTAGTAAACACACATTCTTACACCGAAAGAAATATTTATATTGTACTTTAGCCCTTCTGTTAGCTGACAGGCAGTATTCCATTAGTAAACACACATTCTTACATCGAAAGAAATATTTTTATTGTACTTTAGCACAATAGAACTTTATAATAGTCTTATCTAGTATAAAATAAAATATCATGTATAGAAAAATGTGTAATATTAAACCTTACATATTAATTTATTCTAGATATAAAATGCTTCTGTATACTGTTTATACTGATATATATATATGTGTGTGTGCATGTGTATATATGTGTGAATTTGAAAAAAAAACAGCATCTTCTATAATCTTCTTAGCAGCCCCTCACATAGGAGATATTAGTAAGAAAATCATGAAGGATAACTAGTTAAACATAGTGCTGCTAAAATGAAAATGTTTTTCTCTGCTATAAATAGGTTTATGTAAGTAGTCTACTAGTGAAAAGAAAAAAATAGTAGTTTGTAAAGATTTTCAATTTGTTTCTGTGTTTCGTACTCTGAAAAGGATTTTGTTTTAATTATCTTTGCTTCTTTTACTCAGTCTAAAATGTTTCTTCTCGTGGAGTGAATTTAAATTAAACACAAATTAAACGGAAACTGCTTTGAATTTTAAGAACAGATTTCTATAGATTTAAGTTCCTTTATTCCTATTTTTTTGAAGATGCTGATTAACACAAAACGAGTTAAGGTAAGTTGAAATGAAATTCTGTCGTCAACTTCGTCTGTTTTAAGGAATTTTAGCTACGAATAATCTGGCCTAGTAATATTCCATTAATGAATGTTTGATCAACAACAATCTGAAATTCAAATAAGCTTCAACACTTGGATTTCTCATGTACTGAAACAATGCAAAGGAGATTCAACTTTCTTATTTTCTGATAATTTTCCTCTTCTCAGGAGAGATTACAAGGATACAGTGAAAGTGTAATTAAAATACTGATTAAATTTGGGCAGTTTGGTTTGGTTCAGATTTTCGCATACATTCCAATAAGGACAAACTACGTTAGCCGTCCATAGTTTTTAAATGATAGACTAAAAGGAAGACGGCTAATCAACGCATCCATTGCTAAATCATAGACTGCCTCAATCAAACAGTGGGATGTGATTGTCTCTCTTATAACTCACCAACGACGCCAAAGCGCCAGATGCGATATATGTATATATATATATATCCTTTTGTTTGTATATAAGCCTAACATTTTCTTTTAATATTAATCTCGGAAGGTTTGGTTTGCTTGTTATCGGGCGATTTCAATCATTTCTATTGGATAAGTTACCCTCATAAAAAAAGCTGGTCATGCTGCTGCAAATGAAATATACTTTGACTTGTCATGAACCAGCATATGTTACTGTGACTTAGCCACTAATTTTAATATGTTGATACGAACTGGTTTCTCTTTGTTAACTTACCTCACAAAATACTTTCTTTGCAACACTTAGCCACCAATTTTAATACGTTGAAACGAACTAGTTTCTCTTTGTTAACTTACCTCACAAAATACTTTCCTTGCAACACTTAGCCATGATTTCTAATATATTCAAACGAACTGGTTTCTCTTTGTTAACTTACCTCACAAAATACTTTCCTTGCCCAGTGTTCATCGAAGCTGCCAAGAATTATACGAACGTCTTTCTCCTGAAAAGCATTAAAAATTCTGATAACACAGTGACTTAGCCCTTCATATCCAAAACACAAGAGCTGTTGAAGAACATTTAATAAAAAACAAATATAGCTCCCATATGACGAGTACGGGAAAGCAAAGTTGCATTTTTTAAAAAATATTATCTTGTATAATTGTTTCTCTATTATCTCTTTGACAAAGGTTTTGTGACATAAGTACAATTAAACAAAATGCAAAATGGGCAGTCTATACACTAGATGTCATTTTTTATTTCTGTGCATATTTATCATTTTATCAATTATACCTATTGTTCCAATGGACTTGAAGGCAGTCACTTTTCTAGTAAAAGTGTCAAGAACAAATATTTGGGAAGAAGTTGATGTGATAAGTGATGACATTACCACATAAATCCTTAAATTACAGACTTGTTTTTATACTGTTGGGTTCACTTATTCTATCATTCTAAGATCTCGTATGGAAAACATGTGTTGAAAAAAGTAGTTCGAAATGGAGTCCATCAGTAATTTTAGGGTTAGAGAAATGAATTATACAAGCTTCTTTTTAAAGACATGTAGACTATGCAGAATTCGCTAATGTTTATTTTGTAATTTTTAGCCAAGTATTAAAAGGTCGAGTTTAAAAAGTAATACTATAAACAGGGTAGTGGGCCGACCCCTTTCACTATTTTCAGCTAAATCACACGAAACCTTCGTCCGACTTTATATTCTTTTCCTTAAATTTGATCTTTGAAGTTGGGTACAGTTGGTTGTCCTCCACCGAAACTTTACCTAAATGGGTTCAACCAGCTCCTCACAACAACTTGTCAAAAGAGACTGAAATCTTTATTCTATACACATATTTAATAGGATTCTTTTTGCGGCCATAAAATGAATTACATAAGAAGCTCCATGATTATCTGTAGATGTAGCTTTAAAGACTAAAGTTGCCCAAGGATTTTTTGAATTTATTTGAAAAATTGTTTTTGTTTCGAGTATGATTGCTCTATACGAAAAGATAATAGTACCATCTACATACATAAAACCACAGTTGTCTGCTTGTCTGGCCGGTTGTAATGCCTTGGCTAATCCAATTTTGATGACCTTTGGTAAAGGACTCACCTGAACAGCCCAAAAATCCTGAATGAGTAATTAATTGTACAAGTGAAATGGTGGGAAATTTGGTAGCAAAATGAGTGAATTCGACACCAAACTAAAATCATGTTTAATGCCGTGCGTATGACGTTTGTATCGAACGAACGGTTCGTGTGCTACGAATTAAAATATTGGAAAGAGACGGCTCATGAACACATTTATAGCATTAATGTTTAACTCAGCAATGCCGAGTTTTGCTAGTTTTAATTATATTAATGTCAGGCTGCGTGTCGAAGAAGTTTGAATGATCTCATATGTATTCATATGAAAGAAAATTATCAAAAACAACCCTTTCCAATAAAAACAACCCTTTTCAACAATAAAGATTACAGCAATTTATTAAATTATGTGTATTAAGGTAAAATTCAGCAACATATAATAAGAAGTACAATAAATTTTAACCATTTCCAAAGGTTACGTTACAGCTACTTTTTTCTTTTCTTTTCTGCAACTGGTATTTCTGTCGTAGTTCTTGAAACTCAAATCTTAAAAACATCCATCAACCTTCGGTCAGTTTATTTAGAGTCACGTAGACGCGGATCATCATGAAAAAAGCAAAAACTGAGAAATTAAGTAAGATTACGTCCTTTTATTTCATTGTAAGTACGAATTGTGGCAATTTTCACTACTATTAAAATGAAAAGTATTCGTATTTTATGAAAAAGCTACCATAGTTATCTGATATTGCCCATAATTTTGAAGTATTGACCAGTCAGCAACACCCTACCCATCGTCCATGCTAAGGGATTAATTGCCACTCATATAACACACGTACATTTAAAAGTGTGAGAAAATCATATGTGGTATTTATTGCATGTATTCGTACACGGTACTCTACCTTCGAAAGTCAGAACTAACTCGTGCACGAAAATGAAAAGTGGTTTAAAGACTTTTCAACCATGTCGACTCCAGTTAGATTTAGCCGAGTGCAAATATGCAAGAAAACACACTTGGGGATGTGCAATGTAAACATAAGATAATGTTTAATAAACTATAACGTATAAAAGGTCGTTTCAGGGCAGGTAACAGGTTTTGCTTGAGTAAGTTCACCTGCACCAGACAAATTGTTGACACTAGGATTTTCACTAATTATATGAACAATATTCACTTTACACAAGTGGTAACTGTGTTCCTAGGACCGTTCCATAAAAGTCAATCTGTCTTTTTGTTAAGTTGGAAACTAACTAAACAAAAAAATATTAGCTTGACATAGCTTTGTAGTTAAGGTACTCGAATCCCAATTTGTGGGTTGCAGGATCGAATTCCGTCATCGAATATGCTTGCTCTTTCAGCTGTATGGGTAGTATAATGTGACAATAAGTCCCAATATTTGTTGATGTAGAGTAACCCAAGAGTTGACAGTGCTGCCATCTCTTTTGTCTATCACTTCAAAATCAGGGTCGGCTATTTTTCCAAAAAGAAAACAAAATACTTTCTTTTTTTCCACTTCTAATTTTTTATACTTTAACAAATAGTCTTAAAACTGTTACATGTTACAATTTCTAATAGCCTAAAACTGAGTTAAATTGTAATTTAGATTTAGTAGTTAAATAAATGCCGATATGTATCAAATTTATGATATTTACCAACAAGATTGATACACACAGTTTTCTTTGTTTTATACAAATGTTTTAATATACAAACAATAATACAATTTACAATAACAGTTATTACAAACAGCTACTACAGACAGTTATTTATATACAAAAGTTCCACAAACTTACAAACAATATAAAGTCTTCTTTCTAGTCTGGAACTTCCTTAATATCTTATTGAGGGTTCACGATGAGCGAGCAACTTCGAGTTGGCGTCGGTATAATTATCTTAATTTACAATACAACCATATGGTCATAAAATTACACAAATCAAATGTTATCAACCCCTTTGACATGTATTATCTTCAAATCATACCCTCGTAGTAATAAATTGCAATTTAACAGTCTTATGTTTTTTTTTCTTTCTATTTTTCTTTTTATTTTTTGAGTAGATATCCCATAGTGGGTAACAATACTAAAACCACGTCATCAGGAAGGAACTTACGTTCTTCAGCCTTGCGGTCATAAACGTTTTTATTCTAGTTTGGGATGACTTCAAATTTTCTCAAGCCAACTCACAAGCACGTAAGAGTCTGGAGCGAAACTTGGAAACGTAATCCAACAAGTGCATTTCTCTCGGGTCGTCCTCCAACCATTGTTCCATAAGCAACTTAAAATGTCCATGCACTGAATAGCCAAGCATCAACTCAAACGGGCTAAACCCTAGTGACCCCTGAACTGACTCACGAACAGCAAATAATAATAAATTAACTCCTTCATCCCAGTCTTTCTCGTTATCGAGACAGTAAATCCGCATCATATTTTTCAAGGTAGAATGGAATCTCTCAAGAGCACCTTGCGATTCTGGGTGGTACGCGCTAGATTTAATCTGTTTAGCTCCGAGCTGATAAACATCTTGTTGAAACAATTCTGACACAGAATTTGATCCCTGATCAGACTGAATTTCTTTGGGCAAGTCAACAAAAGTAAAGAAATTTTGTGGACTTAAATGTTTCTCAAAGGGATAACTTCAGGGAAGCGAGTGGATGCGCACACGATAGTCAACAAATACTGGTTCCCTGATCGAGTTTTTGGTAAAAGTTCAACACAATCAACAATCACACGACTGAAGGGTTCTTCGAAACCTGGGATAGGTTTCAGAAGAGCAACAGGAATTTTCTGGTTAGG